CGGAGCGAAGAAGAGAAAGAAAAAAGAAAGGGAGAAAAGTGTGCGGCGGTGATCATGAGTCACGGTACCGAATTACGCCCTTCGGGATGATGATGATGATGATGATTATAATGATAATGGTGATGAGAATGAGGATGAGGATGACGATCGCCATGACGAGATCGCGCGTGTGATAAATACGCCCTTTACGTGCCACGTGCGTATCGAAATCGAGAGCGAGCCTTCCCCCCTCTGCCCCTGTCTCCCCCCCTCTCACCTGAGTGCAAGCGATATCGATGATTCGCGGAAATCGGTTCGAATCGGCAACAGCCTCGTTTCGAAACGTGGAGGACGACATTCGTGCGTGTTTCTGGTGAAAAGAAGAAGAAGAAGAAGAAGAAGAAGAAAAAAAGTGAGAAGAAGAAAATTGTGTGATAATTCCATAAGTGCCGATTTACCGATTTTTCTCATTGTCGTCTCGTTCCATCCGATCGATCGGATCGGTTAATGTTCGACCGTCTCGAGTCCGCGCTCCTCCAACTACGTGGTGCGATTTGTGGTGCCGATCGGTGGTGATACACGCTCCGGTACATCAATGTATGTCACGTGCATGTACCGTCCTCGTCGCCGCAATCACGGGATTTCGGGTCGTCGGCTCGTGGAGATGCTTCGTGACTCCTCGAGAGAGTCTTAAGGGAAACACCCGCCGACCGCCGACCGCCTTTCCTTGGATACCATCGTTATTGGATTAATTGGATTACGGACGATTCGGAACAACGACAAACAAAGGTGAGCATATCACGCGCAAGAATCGCTCCTTCGTTTCACCGATTCGTATATTCTCGTTGCGAACCACAACTCTGGCCCCTTTCTCTAATGTAATTTCGACGAAACTTTTTTACGCGTCAAATACACACGTGCGCGCGATTCCTCTACACGGTACACTTATCTTTGTTTGGTAAATTCTCGCTTCGCGAAATTTCGTTCGTCGCATTATGAAGTCGTAAAAAGAAAAAAAACAAAACAGAGAGAAATGAAGCGCGTCCTTCGCTTATAACAACTTCATATATATATATATATATATATATATATAAAGCGTGGAAGCGTTCGACGAAAATGAAAATTGGGCAAGTTCAAGGGGAAATATCTCGATTGTATATTTTCCCGGGCTCGTATAGATTCCTCGTTCGACTGCGAACGATAACGAGGGAAATTATCGGAGCAGTGAACCGGCATTCCTTCGCGATTGGGCGCGAGAGACCGCGCGAATCGAGGCAGCCGAATCAATTCCACGTCTCCACGGTGAAGAGACAGGTATAGATGGATTTCGACGGATCCGGGAAACGCGATCGAATTCGCGCGAGGTTTGAATGAAAAATTTTTCTCATTTCACGTAATGTATAAATATATATATATAGTTGCAATATTACGAACCTTACATAACATATTTCGAGCTACGTCTAATTGCGTAATTCAAAAGTGGAGATATTTGAAAGTATGTCGATATATACATTTCTCCTTCCTTCCCCTATTCTTTTCTACGCGTCGAAACATCCATCAGAGTCCATAAGAGTCCCGATCAGCGGAGAAATTTATTCTTGCTTCGAGGATTGGAAGAAGAAAAAAAAAAAAGCGATTTCAAATAGCCGTTGCGCGAAACAGGGACGGGATTTGGATACTTTGCGAACATATTATTCGGCGCAGCGAGGAATACGCAACACAATTTCACCAACAACTTCGTCGTTGTCCTTGCCGTTTTTTTTCTTTTTATTGGCCATTGTTGTCCTTCGCCGATATCTTGGCAATCTTCAGAAAAGTTTCGAATACAGAGAGAGAGAAAGAGAGAGAGAGACTCGTGTTGACTACTCGTTTCGCGTAGCGGCATAAAAACGTTTCTTCCGAACGTGTAATTCAAGTTCAGGTGTTCCATGGTCGCGTATGAACGTCGGTTGCGCAACTGTTTTTAAAAGAGAGAGAGAGAGAGAGGGAGGGAGAGGAGGGAGGGAAAGGGGAGGGAAAAAGAAGTAGAAGAAAAAGAAGAAAAAAAGATGGAGGAGGGACTTCTCGCGAGTTTCTTACAGTGGTGGTCATCAATGGCTCGCGATGACGGATCGTAAAGAAAAAGCGATCTCGAGTCAAGGTCGGGCTCGTCGAAAGGCGTCTTTACGTTCGCCATTTCGTATTCATGTGGCCATTATCTGCCGGATATATTTATGTTGCGCTCTCGGATAGTCGGTGCATATGGAACTCGGCGCGAATATATCTATCCATCCCCGAATATCTGGGAAATAACTTGCAATAACAAATTCTCGACGGAGAGTGCCGTGAGGAGTTTGAAGCTTCGAAATTTCGTGTTCACTTCACTCGCGGAAGGAAAATTTTTCTTCGCTCGAAGATTATTTCAAATATACTTCGCGCGTGTGTACAAAATTGATTACAATACGTGCGAAACATTATTATCATTATTATTATTATTATTATTATTATTAATCGACGTAACATCCGCTAATCTAAAAGACAATTATCGAACGAACGTGAGCATTCCAACGGCGACGAGTTTACGACGGCTACGTGTATCCATGCGGAGAAATTTAAATATCCGCCCGCGAGTAACTTTTTCAAGCGTTTTCAAGCATTTTCAAGCGTTTTCAAGCGTTTTCAAGCATTTTTAAGCGTTTTCAAGCGTTCTCTGTCGTTTCTCATCGAACTGGCAACAACGGCAAAAGGGAAACGAAACGAAATGGGATGAAAGCCGAACGACGAATCTCGAATCCAACTTTTCTTTTTTTTTAACCGTGTTACGTGGTCGTTGATTTGACCATCGAGCGAGCGAGCGATTTCGATTCATTAGGGAAGGGAATGGTTAATTAACGAAGAAGCTGTGACGCGTGATCGATGGGGCGGCCGCTATCTGTGCGAAAACAATGTATCTGCGCGAAACCTCTTATACATTACATCCGATCTATCGATATCCGTTCATCGCTTCCGATGATCGATCCGACTAAATCGTTCGTGAATCACGTCCGATTGATCTTACGTAACAACGCTTGGTTTACGTTTCTTCCATTAATTACGGGCGACAGACAGGCAGGCAGGCAGGCAGGCAGGCAGGCAGGCAGGCAGGCAGGCAGGCAGGCAGGCAGGTAGGTAGGTAGGTAGGATAGGTGCATTTCCTTTCTCTCCTTCCACGTCCCGTGCACAATCGTTCGATCGATTATTCAAAATATTCCGTACATTTTGTATTTCAAAAGCTTATGTAACGATTATTATACGCGTTACGCGCGTTGCAAGAAGAGAAAATAAAAAGATGAAGGATTTCACCAAAGTCGAAAAAAAAAAATATCTGGCTCCTCGAGATCTCGAAACTAATTCGAACCCTTCTTTCTTCCTCTTTCACGTACGATTTTCATCTAAGGATAATCGTCGAATTAACAATCGGAATTCGACGGGCGCGGATTAAATCGAAAACGGGAGACTGCAGCAACGCGGTCGGGCATTATCGCTCCTATAGAAATGTTCGCAGTTGATAACAACAACTCGATTATCGCGGCCCGATTGTAACTAATATAGGTGCCGCGAGATAACTATAATCACGTACGGTACGCGCCAGCCACGTACCGGGTGTGCGTCTTTTCATTCCATCTTTCTTTTTCCCTCCCCCTCTCCCCCCAAAATATACCCCCACATGAATTAATATTTATTGTACAAATATTCATATACATAATATTGTACAAATTCTCTCTCTCTCTCCACTTTCACGCATCTTTGCAATCTTCAGTCCATTCCCCCCGTCCCTTTTCCCGACAATTATCTCGAAAAATAAACCCGTTAACCGAATTAATACGCTCGTCCCCCTATTTTTTAAAACTCGAAAACAAACAAGTGAAAAGAAGTAAGTAATGGCAACAACGCTCGCGTTGAAAATCCGAAAAGAGAAGAGAAATATATCGATTGAATTCGATGGGGAGAGGGAAGGGGGAGGGGCTCTCTCTCGACTCTCGTTTTCACCTTCCACGGTCTCCTCTTCCTTCTTCCTTCGCTCCACGCACACAACACACGTTTCTTCGATGAGGACGGCAAGGCGATTTATTAAGACGGTGATTCGGTGGCTACACGCGTTTCGATGTGTAAGGGCACACGTAAGCGCGTTAAATAAAGTTGCAATTAAAAGAGCTAAAAGCTGCGGCGCAGCGGCGGCCCGACTCTCTCAAGGCCTCGGGCCTCGCCGGAGCGTACTTCCGCTTCTGATTAGCTTCCTCTTTTCCCACATCGTTCCACAGTCGACGTTCTCTCTCTCTCTCTCTCTCTCTCTCTCTCTCTCTTCCTTTCCTTTCTCTCGCTCCTCTTTTTACCCTCCTCCTCCTCTTCTTCCTTTCTTCCTCTCCCCCTATCTCCACCCGTCTCTCTTATCTAGCACCGTGGGAATCCGCGCGTGCGATTCGCGCCGCGAAACAGAAAGAGAGAGAGAGAGAGAGAACGGATTCTCGAGTTCTCTCTACCACTTTCGCGCATCTTTGCTGCTTGATCTTCAACCCTCCTCTCAACAATTCTCTCGAAAAATGTAAATATACTTTTCCAATTCCGTTCCATTCAGAGTTATTCATTTTACTATTCTCTTAAATCTCGTGGAAGAGAGAAGTTGGGAGAAGAAGTTGGAAAAATCGAGCGTGTTACGTAAAAAAAAAAAAAAAAAAAAAAGGAAAAGAACGTTTCCCCGGGCGAAATGGAAAAGATCGGCTGAGCGAGGAGAGAGAGAGAGAGAGAGAGAGAAAAAGTTGGCCGCGCCGATTTTCAACGGTTCAAGTGACGACGGTCAGGCGAAAATGTTTCGCTCGCCGGCCGTGCACTTTCACTCCGGCGAAGCCGAGTTTCGCCGAATCGGCGGATACGAATTACACACCGCCGACTACAATTCTTCTCTCCGCCACGGCGTCCCTTCGGTTTCTTTTCTCGATCGATCTCACGATTTTCACGGTCAACGCGGGATTAAAACAACCGGAATTAATAAATTCCTTCCGCCCCCTCCCCCTCCTCTCCTTCGCCGAACGATCCTCTTTTTCTCCTTTGCGCAGGGAGGGGAGGGGAGGGGAGGGGAGGGGAGGGGCTCGAAAGACAGGAGGAATTTTCCTCCGTTTCGAGGCGAGTCGAGTCGAAATGGAAACGCATCGCGTCGCGACCTTGAACGGTACTCCGCTGCTCGTCGCATGTTGGCGTTTCGAGAAAGAATTTGGTCGAATGGTAGTCACGTATAGTACGCTCGATTGCGAAATATTCTTCGGGTTATCTTTCAATGAAAACGTGCCGTTCACATTCCTTCCTCGGCTTCTCCTCTCTCTCTCTCTCTCTCTCCTCTCCTCTCTTCTCTCGAGGAAGGAAAAATTTTCTCTCGAAAAAATGGCGGAGGGAAGGCTCAAACGCTACCTCGACAAAGATTCTCTCCTCTCCTCTCCTCTCCTCTCTTCTCTCGAGGAAGGAAAAATTTTCTCTCGAAAAAATGGCGGAGGGAAGGCTCATCGAGATTCGAACACTTCTCCACCACGATTGTCGTCCACCATTACGCACCAACGTTAGAGATCCCTGAAACAGAGCGATGGAATGTTATGCCCAACATTTTGCAAGGGATTACGTTATCCGCGCGCGGAACCGTTTTCACCCACGCGATCGTCGAGAAAACAACGTAACAACAACAATCTCCTTTCTGCCCGGTTGAAAAGTCAATTACCAACACGAATATACTCCACTCGCCTACTTTTCGAGTGGAACGAGTCCCCATCGCCGTTCAAAGAGGA